ATATCCTCTTCTTTCGTATCGTGAGTATTTTAGAACATTTCTTCCTCGGTGTGAATTTTAAATTGCTTAAATTTGGCACAAACATGAGATAGAATAGTAAAGAAAAATACTACCGTGAGATCGGAACACTTGGGATTTTATGTCTCTGCCTAATAAAATTAAGCGATCGATCGATTAAACGCTAAGAGAAATTTAACGAATGTCCAGTTCCCACAGAAAAATACTTACAAAATGACTTCATTCAAAATTTATGCAGGCATAATTTCGTCTTCTTCTGACAATAGCAATTTCATTATAATGTGCATTGATAAAATACATTTGAGCAGATTGTTAATGTAATCCGATGTGGAAGCTTGTATACGTTAGTTTAATTTTTAAGAGTACTTTATACAATTTAAAATTTACCACGATAGAATACTACCATTTTATTTATAGAATGGATAGATGGACAACTTATTAACTTCACTTTGTTGCCAGCAAAGGTGAGAATGCGACAGAAAAAGGAACGTACTGTCATTTCCTTTTATCTTTTCAGACATGCGTTATGTATTATTAAGTAAACATATAATAAATATGTAATATATTTTTACGATATCATAATATTTTTATAATTTATTTTTACAGTTTATTATATTTTACACTTTACATTTAATAAAAAAACATCATTAAGTATATTAACAATGCACATTAATATAAGTCCATTCACGTATCCGAGATAAACATTGAAATACAAGTATAAACAAGTGCTAAAATGAATAAACATGTGTTAAAATGATGATAGTAATGAATATGAATGTATGAATAATATCCAATAAACATACACCGATATAAATATAAGATATCCCATTTTAAATGATTTCAAAATATCTCTTGAACAGTGCGTTTTAGAGAAGAATGTTTTAGATTTCAAAAGTTTTATGATTTCGAGAGGAACAGAAGAAGGGGTCATTGATTTGATCTTGGATAGTCATTTGAAGATTACATGAAGATCATCTTTAATTTTTTAAACAAAAATCCTCACTTTTTATTGCATGTTTTTGTAGCTTACCTCGAGAGTTTTTAAAAATATTATAATAAAGTATTTTTTATTAAGTATTTAATAAGTTATGTGGTTGAATTTGAGATACAATTTGACATAAAATATAAAATATTTCATAAACTATTCATTCTTTAATTATATTTTAATACTTTTATGCACAGAATAATGAAATAAATCATATGGTGCAAAGGAAATATAATTGCTACTTAACTTTCGCATAGTGTACCTAAGTAGTAGTCATCCATCTTGTGATCTCACAACTAATACTGCTTAACCACTGAGATCGGATGAAATCTGATACTGAAACGAAGATAAAACTAATTCAAAGTTTTAATATAAAAATATAATGGATCAGATCATTGAATATCACATTGTAATGTACTTTAAGGCATCAAATTCTTGATTACACGTATGCTTCAATTTAATTATATATAATTATATACAGAGTGTCCCATTTTAATCAACGCATTTGAATTTCTCCGGAATCATGCGAGATATCAAAATATTTTCACGAAGTTGTATGACATCGAGAGAAATATATTTTATAAAAAAAAAATGTTGATCTTGAGTGAAAACATAACAGTCAAACTGAGATCAACTTAATTTTTTTTAATTTATTTCACTTCTTCTTCATTTTTTAAACGCCTACGTTCGTAACGCTGCTTATTAAGAGTTCAACGCAAATGTTGATGTTAATTCTAAATTATAATTTAGTAAAAATGTAATGCAAGGTAGTAGACAAATTACTATCGTGAATCAAGAACATTCACAGTTAAACATTTTTGTTTGGAAAAAAAATGGACGATTAAACGATTGACGCCGAGGGAAGCAACTCATGCTTACTTTCTCTTTTCCCAGAAAAACATTCACATTTCTTCTTGATAAAAGTTCGCGCAAGCGCAGTTGATCTATCTCATCGTAGTAATTTCACTTTATTTTAACATACATACATTAGCAATGCTTTTCTTTTTTTTACAGTACAGAATGACATTCATCTATTATTCCGATTTGTTATGTTACATTTTACATATTACGCATTAGTTATATCATTACCCAATAAAGTACTAAAACCTAAAAGATGTAATTTTTCAAATTTACTACAACTGTAATATTTGAATGACTCAAAAACTATCTGTTTGCCATCACAAGGAACATATATATCATATTTGAAAGATATTGTATAAATATACACAGATATTGTATTTCTCGTAGTATTGCATGATGCAGTCTTTAATGCAAAAAATGGATCCAAATTCATTATTGAATAATTGTGAATTTATAATTTAATTGCACAGAACAATGGATACAAAATAAAAATCATCATTTACAATATGTATGTATGTAATATTTCATTCAAACTTTATGCGAATAATATTCTACTTGTTTAAAAAAAATCAGAATCTTCTTTCACTATAGATATCATTATTCAAAAGTAAAAGATGTTTCACGTTTAATAGATATCATTAATTTAATGTAAAAATCAAGTGAGACTTCTGTTTCGTTGTAAACAGAATGCATATTATACAATTTCGATTCGATTCAGAAAGAAAGAAACGTTAGTTCTTCAGGAAGCTTATCTAACAATGAACAGATAGAAAAATTGTATTTAAACTTACCTATTCTACTATAACTTATAATACATCATCGAATGATAAATTTTCGCCTCAATGTTCCATAGAACAAATAACAGTAAAGTAAGATATCGATGCTTTCATTAACTAAAATGAAATACAAATTTTCGATTGCGTAATTGTAATATAAAAATGTTGCGAAACAGCAATGATGTCTAAAGATTAATAAAAAATAACAAAACTAAGCTTTTTTAAAATGGCAACTTATATCCAGAAATAACATTTCTCTACTAATAATAAAATAATATTAGACTTTTGAATTAGATAAACTTTAAATCGTCAGATTTGCAATAATTGTTGATTTATTATTATGGAAAATAATAAAGAATTTTAAGAACATTAAAAATAAAGAACATTATTTGTGATATCAAATTTAACGAAATTTTAAATAATTTTATAAAATAAAATAAAAATACATAAAGTGTTTCATAACACCAGACATTGTTTATAAATATAAATTAAAAGAAAAGAGCTCGAACGACCATCTTTGGTATATATTTACAGTCTACATTTACCTCCTATAAAGACAAGCAATTGCACATTAGACAAAAAATGACTTCAAAACAAAATAAAAAAAGACATGTTTATATAAACTTTTTTCATCATTTTGTGTGTCCCATTCGCTGCTAAAGTAGAATGTACATGTCACGAAACACCCTGTATGATGTAAAAAAATAATAATTTATATGATACACTATTTTCGTACGTACGATTTTCGTTATTTCTTTGCGTTTTGATTCGAAGATATGGTTCGGAATCAAAATTTCAAGCATATATATTATAAACTGATTGCAAGTATAATGGTGCTGAAATCTAAATCAAAGATTTTTATAATATAATTTCATTGTAATGAAAAAAATGCGATGTTTCCAGATATAAGTTGCTGCTCTAAAATTATTTACTTCATCAATCTTTGTTAGAATTTAAATAAATATTGTTAATGTTGCTTGGAATACTTTATATATATAAAAGCTTGTACATAACATAAGACACACAATGACTTTGTACCATGCCAAAAAACTCTACAGACAACACGAACATTCCGCCAATATTCAGGCTGACAGTTTTGGTGCCCCTTTGTAAAAGAAATAATATTAACTTCTGTATATGTAACGGTGCTATGTACCATCGAACATTATATCTGAAAAATAATGATCAGAAAGCAAATCAATAGTTGCAAATGTAGTAATAATCTTAATCTACAATTTATGAATTATTTTAATCTTTATTATGCTAAAATTCCTGAAACATTTGCTGATATATATTTGTACGAACATATATGTCTCTTACGCAGTGGAAAATATGCGATCATTGTGATTTATGAGTTCTTGTCCAGCATAATTTGTTGCAAAACAATATACAAAAATACTGAGTACAAGTAGAAAATGTATTATAAATTGCTGGAAGTTGTTTCCAAACAAGATAGTCTCCGAAATCTAAAATACAAATACAAATATTGAAATTAATATTTTATCTCACAATAACCTTGAAACAAAGTAAAAAAAATTATGTGAATACTCAATTTAGCTAAATATATATATATAATGTCAAATAAACTAACTCCATAAAGATTGAGGCTCAAACAAATAACAGCAAACATTATTAAAGCCAAGCGTGATTGGTCAAAACCAGAAAAGAATAATGCGGTGAATCTTTAACAAGAAAAAAATGTATATAATGAAATATAAAATATGTATAAATATATATAGTTGAATATATTTGTATATTTGCTGTTAGAGACAAATACTAACTTGATAGCTTTACGATGAATGTCTACCGCATGAATTATTTGTTTATACATCGTAATCTCGTTTTGTAAATTAATATTGTTCAGCGTATTGATTGCTATTGCTTTCTCGATGCGATAACTGTAAAAAGTTACATTATTGATGTAAGATTATATATGTGATTATATTCGTATTCGGAGAAAATTCTATTCGCTATATAATATAAAATATTTCATAATGTTGTAACAATGTTATAACAATTTAACAAATATTATAAAAAAGATTTGTAAAAATTATTTAATTAAAATTACTTTTTAATTAAATATTAATTTAAATAAATTAATATCACCAACTTAATTAATTAAATAATATTTATTATTTCATTATCTCAAAACAGATTTTGTCAAATAGTAACATGTTTTTTCTTTAAGTATTATTGTATTTATTGTATTTTAGAAATATGAATATTTCTTCCAACAAAAAACCTTTATAATTATTATTAATGACAGAGATTTTGCTTTAATATAAAATAATAGTTCATTGTGGAAGAAAAATCGAATTGCTGTTTAATATGAATTTTGTTATATGGACAAATTTCTTTGTGTCTGTGTAAATTTATTTTAGATATGTAACAAGCAAAGAAGATTTCGTATATATAATCACAATTTCTACATTTATTCTTATTCATTTATATAACTTTTTCACCTGGCAATTCTAAATATTCCGCAGGCATGTATGATGTATGCTATAAGCATCATTCCTGTTGCCACTGTCGCTGTTCCTCCTACCGTAACCGCCATGCCAATATGTAGATAAATCAAATAGAAATAATGTTCTCGACCGACAAAATGTTTAGGTATTATCGTTTGTATTACGCGTTTTATGTCTTGCTTATTCAGAATACCATTAAAAGCATATAATGCAAATGGCATGAAAAAACCAAGGATTAAATTGTTTATGTGAAACACTAAAAATATTAAACACTAAAAATATTAAAGAATATAATTAGTGATTTTCATTCAAATCTTCAACATCGAGAACAATGGAAAACGTGTGCAAGCCGCAATTAACAAATATCGTCGTTTGACTGTGCGAATATTATTTGACTATTTTGAAGGCGACATTATCCATATCACTCCAGTTTTTTTCCATAATATAGACAAAGATCAGATCCAGATACTTTGGGACAGACCTTGTGTGTGTGTATATATATATATTCGTAATTACATTTTGAATTTATAAAGATGTAACATCAACGTAATTGAATATTTTCTGATTAAATACTCAGGCAATTAAATTAACGTAATATTTAAATAAATAATATCATAAATGTATAAATAATTTATAAATAATATAAATTTTATTGCAATTTATTTAGCTTAACAATATGTGAACGTGAGTGTCCATTATCTTACATATAACTATAGCTGTAAAATGTTTTGCATTATTCCCATATCTCTTGATGATATCAATTTCTTTCTCGTCTTTTAACTCATTATAAATATGCTGAAGTTGTTCCAATGACCATTTCATCTATTAAATCAAAAACAATTTTTAACATTCGCCTCATTATAAATTTTAAAGCAAAATTTGTTTATATAAAATAAATTTGTATATATATATATATATATATATATATTATATATATATTATATAATATTATATA